ATATCGTGGGATAGAAGTGTATAAATGACACTGTTAACAATGTCTACATCATGTGTTCATAGACGCCATGCAGCGATGTTGGACGCGTGCCTTTAGGACATTGCATTATAATACATATCGTTAACGTGTATACATTGTGATCACACTCCATAAATCATACGACGCAGTGCTGCTTCATTTTCTGAACCACGGGGATAGCTATTGAAAGTGGTAACGAAATTAGATCGTAACTTCATGGAAAACGTGGACGAAACAAAATGCGCTATAATATGGTACAAATAAATAAATAAATAAATAAATAAATAAATAAATAAATAAATAAATAAATAAATAAATAAATAAATAAATAAGTAAATAAATAAATAAATAAATAAATAAGTGATCACATTTCGTCCTTGATAGGAATATCACTCTACAGTTAACAGTGCACAACTCTCTTTTTCCCTTTCGAATTCAAACGTGGTTGTATTTTATGATTATGCAGAAACACTGTCTCTACACTGTATCAACTTACGAACATTCCGCGTAAACTGTAGTTTTATTTGAGTGTGATATTCAGAATAGTTACTGTCATACATACATGTATAATTTTATAATTTATTACACATCATATCCCCGATGATTTACCAAAGAACATTATCAAATCAAATTACATTTTTTTGGGGGAAGGTGTGGTGGAAATTAACTCCGTGTATGTGTTTTATTCATTCGCACAACGATTGATTGTTTCAGCAAGACGGTTATTCCTGCCACAAGGTATATTTATCACGTGTCCATGTTTCGATTATTGTAAAAAACACGTTTGTCTTTGCACACTAATAGTAACTGAGGTTATGTGGCGGTTATCACCGAAGTAAAAAATTCAATATTTATATCAGTCATTCGGCCAACAACAAAAATATATCTTTTTTGACAAAAAACAATTTGTCGTTAAAACGAACAGGATAAAATAACAAATTGTGATTTTTTCCACACTATTGTTTAATTTGTTAACAATAAATATTCCTCAATACGATCGTCCGATTCAAGTGATAGATTATTTTCTAATCATTGCTGTTTGGCGGTTGCTGCTTTGGACAGTGCGTATGTTTCTAAATCTGTTGCCATGTCGTGATCTGTCACGTGACGCCGACAGCGGCGGCCGGTCAGTAGCATTTTGGCGGCGCGACGGAAATCGCGGTTAAGATAGGCGTAGATGATAGGATTGAATATAGAGTTCACCCAACCAAGCCAAGTGAATATGCTGAACACCATTGGTGGCACGCATCCATGACAGAGCGGATCCGTTACGTTACAAATAAAGAAAGGCAACCAGCAAATAACAAACACACCCATTATAATACCTAATGACTTGAATGCCTTTCTTTCACGTGCTAATATCACTGTTAGTTTGCGACGATATGCCTGGCTGAAGTCGTCTGCACTGTTTACGTTGACAATGTTAACGCCATTACGAAAGTTTGATGCGTCCAGATCACTCACCTGCCTGGATTGTCGTTGGGCAGCGCGAAAAATACTAACATACGTACATAGCATGACAAGGAGTGGTACATAGAATGAAACACACGAAGATGTTACAGCATAAGCAAGACTCAGAGTGAAGGTACATTGATGGGCGAGTGGTATTTTGTAATCACCGGGACTGTTCCATCCCAGGAACACTGGCACAAACGATAACAGAGCAGAACATATCCACACGCCTGTAATCATACACGTCGTTCGCACGGCAGATCGCTTGGTGTCGTAAGAGAACGGAGAGGTTATCGCAAATAATCGGTCAACTCCAACAACACACAGATTTAGAATAGAGGCAGTTGAGTTCATAATATCAAGCGCAATCCAAACGGAGCAGACGTTTTGACTCCAAGGCCAGTATCCTTCGGTTAACTCCAGTACCAAAGCTGGTGGCATCACTAACATTCCCACGCAGAAGTCTGCTACAGCCAGACTTACAATGAAGCAGTTTGTTCTGGTCTGAAGTTTTTTGTTCATAACAACAACTAAAAACACCAAGAAATTTCCCAAAATTGTAAACAAGATGATTATTGAGATGCTTATTCCCAAGAGTAGTTTGCTGGATAGGATATCCTCTTTCTCGAAAAGAGTAATCGTGCTGTTTTCACTGGGCATCTCAATGGCTTGCTTTCTTCCACTCATACACAAAACGCGATTCGTATTACAACGTGTTTCAACATTAAATGAGCGAACTCTCAAGTCAACTATTAATGTACTGGCGTAAAAACACTGGTAATCCACATGTGAAGAATTCAAGCAATTTAAGACAAACAACGGTGATTTGATTGCCACGGTGAAGCGTTAACTGTCAGTAATGAGGAATGAGCACTGTCACGGTGTACTGCACTTGGTACATATGAACACCGCTAGAATCAATAATACGATGTAGTTGCTACCTCAACTGTTTTGTGCTAATGTAATATTATAATACAGCTACCAAATAGAGGTATACTACGACGATGTTAATGTACTAAAGCCAGACAGGATCAATAATATGGGTGTTTATGAACGGTAAGCTAACGTGCTCTAAATAAGGCCACCCAACTCAATATTGATAACATTGAAGATATAGCCAATCTATTATACTGAAGTTATGCTTAAGGTTCTTTGCTCTAATTGCATTTTTACCTGACTGGTTTGTAACCGAACAAATACCCCTGTGAATTACACGACAAAAAGTTTCACACCGTTGGTTGATATATATTAACAATAGTAGATATGTTATTGGGGCGTTTTCACTTGAACGCTATCGAAAAACACATTGGAGAATATTTCAATAAAACATAATCAGGTTGTGAGGCATTCGTTGCCATCTAGTGTGGCTGCTCTAGGGTTGATCTTAGTTGTTAGCGAGCGTAAATGTGATTCCCGGGAGCTGCAGTAAAGTCATTCTTACAATTGACTCTCGGTTAATTGCGTTGCGATGAGGTCACGAAGGGCCACCTGCGTACTGTCAAATGACACTTGAAACTGAAAACGTCCACGGAATTATTGAATACGGGAATCTGATTCTGTATCCTTGCTCCCACATAAAGAGAACTCTGTCTCGTCACGTTCATGATATAACCACATACGAAGCCATTCCCATTGAAGACAACTCATTGTTACATAATTCTCTACACCATCTACATGTCAACGTATTAGTTTAAACGGATGTCACATATGTTTATATGATACAGCGTACCTTCCAGCAATTCTGAAATGTGTTGTAATGTAGGACGATGATTTGCGTAACCATGACACACGTAACGCTCTTACACACTGACATTGCCAGCATTGTAAAACAATTTAGCAACACGCTAAAGCTAGTATTTATCCAAATTAAATTTGTCACCAAATCACTCAGCTATGGGCTTGTGCTACAGTTATGAGAAAACGTTGTCACCTGACGTGATGTACACGGAGTGATTAAATACAAATACTATAGCAGTTAAGACAACTTCAGGCCGCCCACATTAAAAATACTTAGGGAAGTCTGAAGAGATCAGGGGGTAGCTGAAATTAATTTCAGTTGTTGAGTCTCCCCGACTTAAAATAAACTGTACTGTTCAAGGGGGACTTGAAAGTTTGTTTAATATCAGAGGAAAGAAAAAAAAAATACAAAGAAAATCCTTATTCATGTACTTAAAACAATGTTAGTATCAACAACAAACTAACAATACACCATATGTTAATACATGGGTTGGATTCAAATGTTCACATTTTACAATAGAACAATACTTAACATGGCAAACCTGTAACATACTTTAAGTGATATACTGTGTTCGTCACAGACACCTGAGTAAAAAAACAATTCAAAAACATTAAAGTTTGGAAATAGTATGTGAACAGTCAATTTTATTTTTTAATGCACACAGCTTTGGTAATTTTTAATCAACACTGGGTACATCACTTTCCGTATTATTTTTGCGGGTTACACGAGCACCAAGGATTGCTAAGAAGTTTTAATTTTGTTTACTATCATATTCCAGACAATCTATTAACAGAAGGTACTGATAATAATGATTCATTGTTTCATCACCATAGAAAAATTCATTTCTCTTCCTGTGGGTCTAGATGCATTTTATAAATGAAATATTTTTTTTCCTCAAAAATTACAGATTTGAGACTTAAGTTTTTATACAAACAAATTTGCTGATTTATATTTCCAAATTTTGATATACTATGTGATAATGTGTGTATGGATCACAGTTCTGCCCATACATAGAAGCATATTACAGGCAAGTTCACAGTTTTCTACTCCTTTGTAATTATGATATTTAATATTGACATGAACATTTTTTGTGTTGGCAGGTAAATTGTTCTTTTACACATTAATTATTTCCATGTTTTATTTGGATAAATTACAAAAATGTTTTTGACAGTATGTGATGTTGTCAGAGGCATGAGCTAGATAGTTGTCACATACGACTTATTTACCACTTCCGTGTCACTGAGAATGTTCTAGAACCGTACTGTGTCTGGGTGGAATATTCTAGATTTTTTTAAGAAACTGGTTGAATAGGTAACGGAACACTGTAGGAGGCAATAGAAGGGAATGGAACATTCTAGAAATTTATAGTAAATTCCAGACTCATTATGTATGCTGATGTAATAGTCTATTTATAGACAGTGTGGGTATATATAGGGGAGTTGTTCAGCACTGAGTTCAGATCGGAGATCTCGTTGAATTGTATTGGAGTTTAAGTATCTAGTCATTGGAGTAATGGAGTTTTACCGCGTTATTGTACTTGATGTTTGCAGAGTATAATAATACCATTACCAGTTGAAACCTCATCTGTTGGCTCCGTGTTCGTATTTTACCATCGCCGCCAGGGAAGTCTTTCTGTTACTGTTGCCATTTTGGTAATTGAACCATCACACCTGTACTATACCAATTACGGTAATATTACGTTGCGTGTGACAATAGTGTTAGTATTTCGGAACATTGTCAATGTTCAAATTTTATAAATTCGTTTTACATCATGTTATAGATATATAGATGTATTGAAAATAGCCGATTAGTGGCCATTTTGTTATAATTAATGTTATTCCAGAGAAATATTTCTCAATATGGACAAGTACTCGATTGATGATGAGGTACAAGATGTCAGTCATTTTAATGTTAACAAAGCATCATTTGAATAAAAATCCATCTCTTCAGACCCCCTAAACATTTTTATTTTAAGCAGTCTAAGCAAAGTGTGTTTCCATAGAAACAATTCGTACTGCGTGTTACACGTGTTGCCTTCTATTTTGCGCAACGGATCTGCGTAACACAAATTCAACATGATTGAAAGTATAAACAATGCGTTTTTCAAATTACATGATATACTGTGTGTGAGAAACTCACTATCCAAGTAACGTCATAAAATGATCAGCTGTGCTTTTGACATTAAGACAAGGTCACGAGAGGGAGTACTTCTTCATGATTTGACTGTTATATCTTCAATTCACTTCGGTAACCACTTTCCTTTTTATGAGAACCATAAGAACGCCGAGTACTATATTACATGTCAAATAATTAAGATCTAACATAGCGTAACTATTACCACCTTGTCCAATAAGAATTTAAATTAAATAACAAATAATGGATGAATACAAACTAACGATGCACGATATTCTCTTTGCATAGCAAATGTGAGTATAACAGTCCAGAAACAATTGGAATAATATATCTAAATTTTTTCGAAGCTATCGTAATTAGATAAAATATAATTATATTCACGTTTCTCAAATAATACTACATTTATTGTAATATTGCAATCCCCCTATAACATGAATTGTTTCTTAGAACATAGAACACATATGCAATATCTAAGTTAGTAAAAAAAATACTGGTCGACATTCTCAATACTACATTAACTGTATTAATCTCTAAGTCCTTTATACAGAAATATAACATGAGCTGCATGAAATGTCCTCACAATAATAATACAACAACATGGATCATTTGTTTCTCAATTAATACTACATGTACTGTATTAATCCCTTATACAATAATATATTACAATTATACAAAAGTCTCAAAATAATAGTGAAATGATAACTAATAATAATATATATATATAAGCAAAATAAAATAGTAGCCAGATTTAGGCGGGAAACTACTTGTCACTTGTTATACCTGTTCACAACTCGTCTGATGACCTACATACTCTACAGTTTCTAAAAAGTTTAATCGTGCTCACACCATTACCTGAAGCTGTGCAGATGTAACTTGAAAGGTACGGGAAACTGATAATTTCAAAATCATTCTGCTTATCATACAGGTTAGTTGATAAACCATTAGTTTTAATTTAGAAGTACATACATCTCTGAATCGTGATGGTATTCTTGATGGTAAGATATTGTGAATAAATAAAATAAAGATACCTAGAAAACTCTAATAATTCAGCATATGTTTAAAATAATTACATTTTTGTTTAAAAATTAAAAACCACCAACTGTTAAGAATATTTCGAAATGTGTTTTTGAGATTTCATTTCATATGACAAATGATGTTGCGTAAATCAGGAATATATTTAAATTTCACCATAAAGCAATTAACATGTATTCAATTATATATATATATTATAGTTGCTAGGTAACGTTGAACAATAATTTCCCAATCCGTACTATCCAAGGAGTTTAGCTACTCATCATGCAATTATTACTTACAGTTAATGTATTGATTCATCAAAAAACAAATAATTTCGATTATTCAGCATCCAAATTAAATGATTTAGCGCTGTCTAATTGTAGAATACATATATGTCCTACGTATAGATCACAAGAGTCCCCGGCGGTCATACAATCACAACTCTCTTAAAACGTGCTTCACTTGCATTTTGGCTCGTTATCTCTCATCAAATTATCGCCACGAGGATGAAAAATAAAAAAAAAATAATACTCTTATGTCGATACTATCGCTGTACGCCTGGGTACATATTTTGCGGTATTCTCTAGATACCGTCATGTTATTCACAGCAAGGCGATTCTCTGACAACATTCATATCGCTTGCCTATAACCAAGTGTAATTTTTATTCTAACTCCCGTTAAATATTAAGCATCGTGTAGAGATGGGAATTTGTGACATGATTATTTAAATCTAAGATATTCCCAGAAGTTAGGACATTCATTATGAACATCTCGG